AAGTCATGGAGAGGCAACATTAACAAACATACCAGTCAGCTGCTACAAATTCTGCAGAATATTCCTTCTTCATCACCCAGTTTCCTTATGTTACACAGATACCTGCACACACAGTATCTGGATCCAAATACAAGTACAATAAAAGGCCTTTAGACAGTATGTGGGAATAACTGATATAAAGTCTTGGTCCCTGGATCCATCTTAAATGACGCATTCTAAGTCTGGATATGTTATTTCAGGATTTTTTGTTTGCCTGTTCTCTCACTTGGAAGTTGAGCAGAAAGGAAAAAAATGTTACATCCATACTGTACATCTTTTTGGCTCCTGCCATCTGCAAAATGGCAGCCTACGGAAATGTTTGAAACAGCCTTGTCAGAATGCTGGCTGGAAATTTACAGTATGCTAAAATGTGTCAAATTATCATCATGGCAGCAGAATGTGGGTAATAAACTTTGCAGTCAGGAAAACTGTACTTCAGGAGAGTAACTGATTAACAACAGAGATTCAGAAGCTAGAATTAGGAATGTTTATAAAGTGGACACCAAGGTGGCAAAATCAAGGCAGCATGCGTTTCTGCTGAATGGCAATCTTACAGAGCAATAGACAGAATGTGGAAAGGTTTGGAGGTGTTGAGCGCTGTTCCTTAAGTGCTAAGGAATTTAAGCTCAACAGCTGCCCAGAGTGTGCTGAGAAGAGGGTGAAATTCAGCCACACCATTCTGAGCCAGGGTTGTCCTCTTACTTTCACACAAAAATCCAGAGGAGTGTCGAGTGGCCAGAAAGAACATGTTGGTAGGTGAGGTTGGGTGAGGCTGGAAGCCTGGTATTTAAGTGCAATCCTATGCATTTCAGTTAGGTACACAACAACCACATTACTCCATAAAAGTTACTACATGCTTCACCTCTAGTACCTTCTTGTAGCAGTGTGCTCAGTGTCTGGAGTCATGTATTCTGGAAAGCACGATGCAAATCCCAGCACAGGCAGTCTAAAGAGCACCAGCCATGCGTAAGAACAGCCGCAGTTGGAGACGTGAGGGTAAAACAGCCAAACAGGCCACTGTAATTCCTTTCCAAACAGACACATTCTGATTGCCAACTGCCATTGCTTAAGATGTATCTTGTTTTCCCTTACAATCTCCTTAGTAACCACTGCAGGAATGTATGCACACCTGAAATGTGCTGCAAGAGACATCTCACCACGGAAAGTGGAGCCATGAAAAACAGCAGTTTTCACTGAGCAAATCCTGTGCTAATGCACACAAGGCAGAGAGGCAACACTAATGAAGAAACCCCAAATTAGGCTTCTTGCCCTTTAACTCAGTGACTATAAATTGCAGATACCGTGGCTGGAACAGCTTTCTACTGGCTTGGTGAATCAGAAGCAGGTAAGCACCATGCCCAGCATACGTGGTAGCGGCTTAATCTGTGCTGCCTCCTAGTTCTAGTTCCAGAGCTTGGCAGGATCTAGCCCTAGAAGAGTGAGGGCCTGGTCCAATAGCCACTGAAGCCAATGGGAGTCTTTTCATTGACCTGAATGGGCAATGAATGGATCACCTAGACAATGAGTCAGTCGGACGCTAAATCAGACTGATCTAACTAAATACTGTAGCATAATATAAAATAAGCAGGACTAAATTCTATCCAGGAATGCAAGTACTATTGATTTCAAAAGGATCCCCCTGGGTATATTCAAAGGCAGAATGTGGCATTAGCCTGAAGGTACTGCAGATTCCAAACCATAAAAGCTTTTTCAGGGTTGTTCAGAGAGACTCATCCTCTCCTATAGTCTGTCCAGTAACGCGCCTGGTTAAACACACAGCCTAGTAACAGAAACTGAAATTCGGTCCCTCTCTCCCACTCAACTCGTGATTCAGTGTTGCAATAAAACATATGGAAATTAAACGTAGGGGCCATAAAAAGAATACAGGAGCAAATCCTTCCCTCAGCTACGTTTTTATGCAACCCACATTGAATAAATCATTCCATAATCTCAGTACATTTACACAGGACTCAGGTCTCCAGTCTCCAAATGAAACCCAGATTAAGGTGCCTGTTTAAATCCTATTTTGTTGAATCAGACAGAATTTATCCTTGCAGTCCATGTGGGGCAGAGGAACCACAGGGATGTAGCCTCAAGCCAACAAAAGGCCAGGAAT